GAGAGAGAGAGAGATATATATATAGAGAGAGATGGTGCGTTTCGGAAACGCTGGACAGCCATCCGCTCAAATGACTGAACGCATCACTAACACTGAACTCTGACTGAACTCTGACTGAACTCTGAAATGACTGAAGGCATGCACCAACTCTTGGCATTTTGGTAAAAAAATATTTCGATTAGTACTATTTACGTAAATAGTAATAGACTTTTTTTTACAAAATATAAACTATAAAAACACAATTCCGAGTTATGCCTACTCATGACCGTCAAATTTCTACCATTCTTTGTACTTCTCCTTGAGCGGTGAATGATCGATCATACATGATAATTCAACCTTTGTTCATGATTCAGCACTGTCGAAGACCTACTGACTCGTCTTGGTATGGGTTGTCCCTGGCATGTTGTTGTTCCGGGATGTCACGTGTTGATGATATTGACGTTCCAGCATGGCACCAAGACGAGTCAGTAGATCTTCTTCGACAGTGCTGACACCATAATTGCAGTGAGCATCATGCAGTTATAATTGTATAATTGCATAATTGCAGTGAGCAATTGTTTCCTTCTGCAGCCGACTGTTTCAGGTCAGAATTAATTTTATTGGTTGATTTATGGTTAGTTATAAGGTATATAAAGTAGTATAGTGATAGGGGCGTGTTAGGATGAGGACTAGGTTTGAGGCAATGGTAGGGACAAGTTCATGGTGAGGATAATGTTTAAGTTTAGTGGCAAGAAACGGTCGAGGTAGTAGGATGATCAGTTCGACGTTAATAGTAATAATTAGTATATTAAATAAAAAGTAAATAGTATAAGTGATAAACTAAGTAACTAATAAAATAGCATAACAATAATAATAATAAGTAAAATAATGAGTAAATAATAATAAGTAATGGGTAGGTTTTATGTTCGGAGCGGATTTGAGGTTGAAGTAGTGAGTATAGAGAGTAGCATAAAGGTTGGGCCAGTACAGCAGGTGCTACCTACTTCTGGCACGGACACACGAAGATGCCACAGCACTTCTCCATGCCTGTCAGGTTCTTCTCAGCCTCCCGCATGTCCTGGTTGATGTGATCCATGCCCTCCTCCACACGATCCAGTTGCTCTGCACACAGGTTAAATGCATGGAGTTACTAGGTACACATGGAGCCAGCATAGAGTATACAATGATTGATAACGCGTGTCACAATGTCACATCAACGTGACACCATGACGATGCGTTTCACGATGCCACCTCAGGTTGACATCGTGAAATGAACGTGACATGTCACAAAGTCACGTCAATGCGACATTGTAATGGCGTGCATCACACCGTCACATCAACGTGATGTCATGACAATGCGGATGTCGCGTCAGTCTGACACCATGACAACACGCGTCACTACGTCACATCAACATGATGTCATGACAACGCGGTGTCACCACGTCGTGTCCGTCTGACACCAAGACTTCATGGCAACATGACACCGATTTCACATCAACGTGACAATGTAATGACACGTGCTATATATAATTTATAAATTTAGATAATATTTATATAATATATAATTTCTCGTCCCTGACAACGTCCAGTCGTGAGGTGACGCGTTACAGCACAAAGATCAATCGCGCTCACGACGCGCGCCGCAAAAACACTCGCACTTTCCCCACTTCGAACACATCGGCTAAACCGCCGATTTGCGCTCGCACCTGTGCCCGACGCCACGTATCGCCAATCGAATCAATCGGGAGGGAAGGGGGGGCGTGATCGCACATAGGAACACGCGCCAGTGTAAACGCATCACGCAGTTACGTTGATATTCGGTCTAAATGCTCCTCCCTGTAGCCGGACCGTATACCCTGGGTACTGCCGGACCGTACCTCTGGGTACTCGCCGGACCGCTCGCGCTTCCTGCCAACATGGGTCGTCGAGGTTCAAAACAGGGTACGGTTGGGAGTAGGCGGGTACGGTCCGGTATACCAGACAGTTACCAGGGTACGTTGCGGGCATACCGGAACCGTACAGAGAACATACACCTAATGCAGCCGAGTTACATAATATCTCACAGATAGTAGGGTCCAAAATGCATCGGCGTCGTGCGATTCAAAATTCCTGACGACCGAAGATCCGATGAACAACGTAGAACGCGCTTGCTTGAATGCACGCTACCGATATATATAATAAGAATATATATATTATATATATTATATATATATAATATATTTAATATTATAATATATAACATAATATACTACGTGTGAGCGAGCGTTCTAATACTAATATAACTAGATTTGATCCGAACCTTGGAACTTGCTCGCGCGATCCATCGCGCACGGTGGACCATGCGCACAAGTTTGCCTACAGCGTGTGCGGGGGCGGGGGCTACATAGTTCGTTATCATTCGCTCTGCCGGTTCATATCACAGGGTGAGCCAAGCAATATAGGAGACGTGACAATGCCTTATACATATAAACGGATGTTGATGAAATAAATAATCTGAAAAAACAGAAACGTTCCCTAATTACACTGACTAGTTCTTCAGGCACCGCGCAGGGGCTACGCGGGATAACCATAAATAGGGCGGGGACATCCAACCACACACCAAAGCCATGCGGGCTGCGGTGTATAAACAACCAATCACTCGCCTGCCACAGCTGTGAGTGGAGCTGTGACGTGTGGTTGTAAATTTGTAGTGGTGGCGCGGTGCGCAGTGTGATCTGTGCGCGCGCAATGCCCGTAGGTGTGAATGTGGTGTGTGTGTGTCGTGCCCGCAGCGCGTGTGTGTGTGGTGCGTGTGTGCAAATATATTGACAAGGGACGATGTAACCCTTATTCAAAGATGCTTCTAACCAGAAGATATATTTTCAAAAATAATATCTAAGTAAGCATGAATGTACTAATGAAATTCATCGCCGGCATTCCCCTCTTTTTGAAAATTGTTGTCATTTTAAGGTAATATTTAGATTTTAATATATATTTAATACAATTTTTGTTTAAAAACAAAATATTGATATGACTCGAGTCTAGAGTATCAGTATTTTTCGTGTAGTAAATATACACGCTGCCAATAAAATGGGAGAGATAAAGGTTAAACCCGCCCCTCAAGTCGACCCCCACGAAACCTCCCGCTGGATAACGTTAATAGCTAGTACAAATAAAATCGCCCACCCGCGATGCAGCCCGCAATTGCGCGTTTCCGTCCACATTATATTTCCCAGTTCACTTATCGCCTGCTAACAGTCTCTCGAGGCTTCTCTGCGCCCAGGCGCTACCCTTTCTCTTGCATTCGGCACGCTTGAACGGGAGGGACATTGGTCCTTCTGTCCCAGTACTACCCCGCCCTCCAGACGCCCGCTGCGTCTAGAACAAGAGATGATATATCGAATCTCATTCACTAGCAGGTTACCGTCTCGCGGAGAATACGCTATGTGGCTCCTCCTGTTCACCTCCCCCTTGCTCCCTGCCCGTCCTTCCCCACCGCTATCCTACCCTACTCTCATCTCTCTCATCTCTGCTGAGTCGCCTTAGTACCACAGACATACGCACTTTGGCTCACTCGCACTTCCTCGTTGCCCACCTAAACCCCTGCCTTCTCTCTTTGCTGAGTCGACTAATGAACATGTCCACAGAATTTCTCGAACGTGCACGTCTAGCTACCCCCCCGCCAACCCGCCACCTATCGCTCGCTGCTATCACACCTTCTCTCTCTCGTGCTCCTCGTCTCATCTCTCCTCGTTGCTCTCTCTCCACTCTCCATCACTCTTCTTTCTCTCTCTCTGCTCTCTCCCTCTCAATCCTCTCTCTCTCTCCCTTCTCTCTCTCTCCTCGTCCTCTCTCAATTTATCTTCTCCTCTCTCTTCTCGTCTCTCTCTCCTCGCTCGTCTCTCCCTCCCTCCACTCTCTCTCTCTCATCTGCTTTCCCTTTATCTCTACTCTCTCCTTCCATCAATCTCTCTCTCTCTCTCTCAATTCATCTGTCCTCTATCTCTCTCCTCTCGTCCTCTCTCGTCTCTTTCGCCCTCTATCTCTCTCTCTCTCCTCTCTCTGATGTAATGTGTTGCTCGCGGCGACTTAACGTGTTCCCGCAACGCGCCGGCAGTCAATTCTTTGCGCCACGCGAGACCAACGACGGCACATCGCCCCCTATCTCCCGCAGGACGTTAAGCGTCAATCACGCCGAGACACTGGGTAGACATCTACTGAGTAACGTCTCGCCGACTTGCCATAATCCTGTCCGAAAACACTCGAACAACATAAACAGCATTTAAACAACATTACAGTTAACTAACGAGCATGAAATATACGAACCTTGCCATACACGCTCGGGTCGTGCAATGCCCGCGGAAACTTGTCCCGGCGAGTTTTTCCCAAACTACCGACTGCGACGAGGCGCTCTCAGCTCTGTGCTCAATTGTGTATCCGGGAGACTTGTAGGAATGGCGCTGGCAACAGTTGTTTAGACTTTATCGAAGGTCGTCGACGTGGTCCGCCACCCTAATTAAATAACCCGTGTAATCGGCGGTAAGACCAGAATGAATTGGCGTCTGGCCATTTAGCTAACGACAGGCCGGACGAAGCGCTGCGACCGTCCGTCTGTTTACAGATGTACATAGCGAGCACACGAGCGCCTGACTGACGATAGCGGGTTTGGTGGCGTGGCGTGGCGTGTGCGTGTGCGTGTGCGTTGGTGTTTGGAGGGGACTCACTACTAGGCAAAGATTGCGCAACTGAGGATGCTCCGGATCCGGTTGCGAGAAACACTTCAACTATATAGACATATAGCATTAGATATTTGAGCGTGCACTCGGAGGCAGCTGCGCGCGCTCCAATGCGGCACCGTGTGCGGGCCTTTAGGGTTTCCCCAGTCCGCAAGGTAACGCTGCATGTGCAAGCACAGCACCCCTATGCGCTTGCAGGAACAGCTGAAACTCGCTACATACTCGCGACAAGTAGCCTGGCCACGTGCCGATACGCGCACAACGCAACTCACACACACACCAAACACTACCACACACCGAGCCACACACACCCACAACACACACACACACAACACACGCACACAGCACACACAGCACACACACCAGCACCCACAACAGCACACAATCACACACTACAACACGCAACACATCACACACATCACACACTACACACCGCACACACACACACACACACACACATCACAGGCCACACACACACACAAGCACACACACGACACACACACACACAACACCCACACAACCCCACACACACCACCCACACACACACCAACACACCACACACACACATACACACACACACACACACCCCACACACCACACATCACACACACAACAAACACACACACACACACAACACACACACACACACACACACACGCACACACACACACAACACACCACACAGCACAACCATCAACCGCGCGTCCCGACGGCAGACCAACAACATCGAACGGATAGGCTAGCGGCGTGCGGTGGCGCGTGCGTTGGCGCGATCAATTACAGACCATCAAGAGCGTCTAGCGAGGACGCGAGAACTGCGCCGGCTACGCGTGATGAATGACCTGCAGGCCGACGACGGGCGAGGGGGACGGCGACGACGGTGAGGGGGTGAACTACGGCGGAGACGGGCGGAGAGGGGGGTGACGACGAGGGGAGGGGGAGGGCGACGAACGAGAAGGGGAGAGCGCGACGACGAGGAGCGGGGAGCGGAGACACGGGCGGAGAGGGGGTAATCTACGGCGGACTACGGCGAGAGGGGTGACGACGACCGGAGAGGGAAGGGGTGACGGCACGACGGGAGGGGAGGTGACGACGAACGGGAGGGGTAGGACAGCGACAGACGGAGGGGGCGACGAGCGAGGGGCGGCGACGACGGGAAGGGGGTGAACAAGACGGACTACGGGAGGGGGTACGACGAACGGCGCGGTCGGAGAGAGGCAGCGCGACGAGACGCGGGGAAGAAAGGTGACGACGGATGGTGACGACGACGGCGACGGTGGAGAGGCCGACGACGAGACGTGGGAGGGGGTGACGACGACGGAGACGGGGGGAGGTGACGACGACGAACGACGGAGGGGGGGTGACGACGACGAGACGGCGGGGAGGGTGACGACGACGAGACGCGAG